TGATTGGTATGCATTGTAGTCCAAACGAGTCGTTCATTGTAGTTTTTGAAAAGTGATTTCTGTTTAATAAAATATCTTCTTTTGAAGTGGACTTTGAGCTTTGTAACTTCGCAGATCTTTTTTATGCTCAAACAGCAACCTTACAGACTAACTAAAGTTGAAAAAGTGAAAAAGCCAAATAGGACCCCTTTAAGCATCACGGGTGAATATTTAATGAGTAATGCACTATTTTGTAGAGAAGGTTCAAAATGACATTTTCACCTATGATTCGGAGCCAAATTACAGGATGGTAAAAATGACTTTATAAAGTTGGCAGTATATGATCATTTTATGATTACACAGAGATTGGTAGGCCTGTTAGTAAAATCTGTTGACTTTATCCATCTTTGTTGCATTATATGCCAATAGTGACCATTCAAAAATGGGGAAAAGGCACTTCTTGTGTTTTTTTCCCCTGACATTGGCACTGTATTCATGTATTTTTGTGCTCTGCTCCAGGTTTCACTCCTCCTGGCATGGATCGCTCGTCTCCGGAGAACAGTCCCGTACACGGATTGGTGCGACAGGCGTCCATAACCACTGGAGCAAACATTCACATCATCACAGAGCTCGGTGAGAATCACTCACTTTTAAGCCCAAACTAATACATTTATTCATCAAGGATGCATTCAACTGATTAAAAGGGACAGTAAAGATTTGTCACCTGTGTTGGCAAAATGAGTCACAATGAGTAAATTTTCAAAAATGAGTTATTTTTTTTGTATTTGAATTGTATTCGTTTTTTTAAATTGTGTGTATAGTTAATTTAAATATTTTATTTAACTTAAAGCTGCAGTCCATAACTTTTGGTGCTCTAGCGGTTAATAAACAGAACTGCGTGCATCTTGCGGAAGAACATTGTATCCGGAGCTACTTCTCTCTGTTTATGTCTATGACGAATCACGCAGGTACTGGGCTCCTCCGCAGCGGCACCCACCCGAACCAGTCTAGTAAGTCCGAATATAAACACTTATTATAGGTGTACCGTAGTGATTCAGGACAAGCCAAAAACACGGCTTGGAAAATGGATTCATGGTGTACTCGCTTATTATATCAATGTTGTACATTTTGAACACAAAGTTACGGACTGCAGCTTTAATTTAAATATTACATATAAAATATATTTAAATATAAATAATAATTAAACTAAATGTATTTAAAACAATGAGAACTATTGCCTTGGCAACTAGCAGAAATAAATTTGAGGTTTTTATTTGAATTTAATTTAATTTTAAGTCAAATCTTTCATTTCTTGAAATACATTTTTATGATTTTAGCTTTAGTTAACTATAGTAACCCTGACATTAATTAATAAAAAATACAGCTGTTCATAGTTAGTTCATGTTAGCTCAGACCAATTAAATCATATCAGCACATACCTTTGATTTTAATAATTATTATTAGTAAATGTTGAAATAAACATTAACGAAGATGAATAAATGCTTTAGAATATTTTATTGATAGTTTAACTAATGAAGTTTACTAATGTTAACAAATGGAACCTTATTGTAAAAAATCCTACTGACCCCAAAGCATTTGAGTGTGAACGGCTGTTTTAACTACTGTTTTAGCTAGTTTCTAGGTTTATGGTTGCAAAGTGTAAAACAACTAAACTGTTGGTTTTGGTAACTGGTTGTTTTATGCTGCTAGCTAAAACAGACAAGTTGCTGCCCCTGGTTTCTCTGAGCCAGGACAAGAGCAGCGGGAACAACATCCCAATGATAACTGAGCTGGGTAAGAACGGCTGGTGTTCCTGTCGCTCTGTGGAGGTTTCTGCTGTTCTTCTGTTCCTCTCTGGTGTTTTTCGCTGTTGGCATGAGTGTTTCTGCAGCATGCTGTGAATCCTGTGTGCTTCTGTGTGGCGAGATGCGCGGCTGGTTCCTGTCAAACCGATCGAATCTGTCGTCTGTTCAGAGATGATCTGTCACTCATTTACGTGTTTCTGAGTGTCTCTGACAGGAAACTCAAAGGCTCAGGGTCAAAAATGAACTTCCTGCTGCTTCTGGAAATTAATCGACAACATTTCTGGCCATAAATGATTTTTTTCTGACCATGAGCCTGCATTTCTGGCAATGTTTGATTTATTAATATTTTCTATTTTTTTCTATTTTCTATTTTAATTTTTTTTGTAAATTTGTTGTTTGTTTGGCCAATGTTTTAAAATTAAGTCTAAAAATAAAAACATTCAAATATTGATAAAAACTATAATAGTTTTAAATAAATAATTTTTACTGACCACTGCATTTTACATAATTTTTATTTGTTAATGTTAAAGGGTTAGTTCACCCAAAAATGAAAATTAGCCCATGAATTACTCACCCTCAAGGCATCCTAGGTGTATATGACTTTCTTCTTTCAGACGAATCCAGTCGGAGTTATATTAAAAATTGTCTTTGATCCTTCAAGCTGTTTAATGGCACTCAGCGGGTGTTGCAGTGCATCAGTCCAAAAGAAGTGAAATAAAAAGCGCCCATCCATAATAAAAAGTGTCTCACACGGCTCCGGGGGGTGAACAAAGGCTTCCTGTAGCGAATTGATGTGTTTTTGTAAGAAAAAATTCCTTTTCAAAACTTAATAATCACTTTAATGTAGCTTGCGCCAACAGTTGCAACCAGAAGCAGCTCTGGGCGGATGACGTAAGATGTGAACTATAAAAGTGAACTAACCCTTTAAGGATTAGTTTTTATTTTATATTTAAATTGTAATTTTTTGTAAATTTATTTTTGTCAGGTTTTGTTTTTGTCATATATATATTTTTGATCTTATTGTTCTTTCCATTTGACTTCAAATACAATTCTTAGTACATTTACCAGCAATGTAAGTTTTATTTTATTTACTTGCCAAAGTTTATGCATTTTAATTTTTTTGCTTGTCATGAAAATAATTTCATAATTAAAAAAAATCAAATTATTCAAATTATGAATATTTGAATGTATTTTTTATTTTGAATTGGTTGTAATTTTTTATATTTTCTGCTTTCATTTTAATTTTTGTTAAAGTTTTAGTAATTTTGTTGTGAATTTTTGTCATTTTTGTTATTATTACTATTATTTTTTAATGTCTATATAGTTTTTATTAATTTTTACTTCAGTTAGTTATTTTTGTACATCAAGTTAAGCTAAATGAAAATGAGAAATATCTCGCCAGAGAGCCCAATCACCTTCAAGTGTTAACAAAACAAACCAATGAATGTTACTACACGGGCACCTATTCATTGCACATGGCCCCCCAGCCTATGGCAGAGGCATCTGTTGAGACATGCCTGGACACTTGCACTAGGGGAACTCCCGCCCGAAGAAAGGCAAGGTCCCACCAAGGGCTGAAAGTCTGGCGGCAGGACGGGGTGACTGAGACCTGGTGAGGGCCGCGTTGCAATGCCCATCTCAGGACTCGGTCGTGAAGCCAACGCTGAAGCGATCTCATATGAAGCAATCCGAGCGGCGTGCCCACGGCAGCAGATGCCATATGCCCCAGGAGCCTCTGAAACTGTTTCAGTGGGACCGCCCTCCTGGTCTGAAATGACTCCAGGCAGTTCAGAATCGACTGGGCACGCTCTGCTGAGAGATGTGCTGTTAGATTAACCAAATCCAACTCCATACCGAGAAAAGAGATCCTCTGCACGGGGGAGAGTTTGCTCTTTTCCCAGTTGACCCGAAGCTCCAACCGGCTGAGGTGGCTGAGTACCACGTCCCTGTGTTCGCACAACTGCGCTCGAGACTGGGCCAGTCTTCAAGGTAGTTGAGAATGCGAATGCCTCTTTCCCTCAATGGAACGAAGGGGAGGACCTTGTACTGATATGCTCGCCCCTCGAACACGAAGCAGAGAAATGGCCTGTGTCGAGGGAGGATCGAGACATGAAAGTACGCGTCCTTCAGGTCGATCGCTGGGAACCAATTGTGTGGACTAACTCATTGAAAAATGCGTTTCTGCATCAACATCCTGAACGGGAGCCTGTGGAGGGCTCGGTTCAGAACACGCAGGTCCAGGATTGGCCGTAACCCACCGAGGTGACGGGGTGTTGACTTAATTGCCTCCATCTGCTTCTGTGCAGCGGAGAACTGCTGGGCGAAGCTCTCCACTGTGTCGCTGAAGACGCCAGCCTAGGAGATCGGGGAGTCCAGGAAGTGGTGTTTGTCGGATTCCCTCATATCTACCAGGTTCAGCCAAAGATGGCATTCCTGAACCACCAAGGTGGACATCGTCTGACCCAGGGACCGCGCTGTGACTTTCGTCGCCCGTAGGGTGAGGTCCATCGCAGTGCGCAGCTCCTGCATCACACCCGAGTCAGAACTACCCTTGTGCAGCTGCTTCAACGCCTTGGCCTGGTAGACTTGCTGGAGGGCCATGGCATGCAGGGTGGAGAGCCTTGGCCGTTAGAGCAGACGAGAATTTACAAGCTCTGGACGGGAGGCGTGGATTACCCCACCAGGTGGCAGCGCTCTGCGGGCAAAGCTGCATCACAATAGCGCGCTCGACTGGGGGAATCTCCACATACCCCTAAGCCACCCCGCCGTTGAGGGTAGTGAGGATGGAAGATCCAAATTTCCGAGTTCCCAATTCGTCAGTCACTGCTGACGTAACGTTGAACGTGACTTACTGAAAGGGAACTGTAATAACCTTTCTTTTGTCATGTTTTATCAGACTGACTCATAATACATATCATCAAGGTCTGAAGAAAATCTTCATCTAGATAATCTTTAAAATGCTTGTTAAAGTTATTATAAAATTTATCGGCTGCTGCACTGGCAAGTTGCACCAGTTCATTGACTTGCCAAATTCTTGCATTGGGTGCTGAAAAAAAAAGAGTTACATTTTGACCCTGTTATTTTCTGTGAACATTTTTAATAAGACTCCTCATTAATGAAACACATTCCTAACAGTCCGTGTGTGTGTGTGTGTGTGTCTGCAGTGAACGACTCAAACGTCCAGTTTCTGGACCAGGACGATGACGACGATCCCGACACAGAGCTGTACCTCACGCAGCCATTCGCCTGTGGGACAGCGTTCGCCGTCAGCGTGCTGGATTCATTAATGAGTGCCGTAAGTAAACGTAAACACAGTGGCGTCAGGCCTCACGCACCGCTCCGCATCTGTAATGTACAGTGGCTCTGCAACTTAAGAAAACACATGCAAAGCACCAGCAAATTAAGAAAACATCTTCATTAGTTTGACAGCACATGTGCTGCAAATGCTCACAACACAAACAAATAAAGAAATACACAAGTAGCACAGACCACAACAAAATTACCCCAACAAAACGAAAATTAAGCATGTTTTTTTTTTTTTGGCATATTGATTACCATTTGTATAACCACAGTTGTACAAATACCATGGTTAAACTATGGTTTGTGTAGTTAATCACTGGTTAATTTGTACATGGTTTAACTATAGTAACCATTTTTTGTTTTTATTTAGTTTTTATATAATAAATGTAGGTAACACTTTATTTTAAGGTGTCCTTGTTACACATATTACATACATATAAGTACTTACTATATGGTTAGGGTTAGGATTAGGGTATCTTGCATGTAATTATGCATGACTAATTGTTATTATAATAGTAAGTACATGTAATTCCTAATCCTAATCCTAATTAGGGTAAAACCCTAATCCTAACCCTAACCATATAGTAAGTACTTATATGTATAACTACGCTGTAACAAGGACACCTTAAAATAAAGTGTAACCTAAATGTATTTATCAATTAATTAATTTTAATAGTAAAACCATAGGCTATGGTTGAGGGAAAGTTGTAAAGGGAAGTTAGCCAGCTTACATAACCTTTCACAGTTACAGTAACTGTGTATTTCGTCAGCTTATTTAGGCTAATAATATAAATAAATAAAAAACTATAAGGAAGGGTGTTAAAATAAACAAATCTCACCTTTGAGAGCAAACATTGATAAATATGTCCCTGCCATGTTCGTCAATTCCATAACCATTTCCGAGGTGGTCTTTGCCTGTTTGTAGCGAGTTTCTGTTTTTGCAGCATGCTTCTTTATTTGGATGTGTTGTGAGTATTTGCAGTGTGTGTGTTGTCAAATTAATGAAGATGTTTTCGTAATTTGCATGTGTTTTTTAGCGTGTTGAGCTCTCTCAGCCACAGTAGTAACGCTCCTCTCCCTCTGTCTCTGTCTCTGTCTCAGACGTACTTCAATGATAACATTCTGACTCTGATCCGGACGCTGGTGACCGGCGGAGCCACGCCGGAGCTGGAGGGTCTGCTGGCGGAGGAGAACGCGCTGCGTGGAGGATACAGCACACCGCAAACACTGGCCAACAGAGACCGCTGCCGCGTCGCACAGCTGGCGCTTTACGACGGGCCCTTCGCTGATCTGGGGGTGAGACTGACATCTCTTACGTCTTCATTTGGTTCATGTTTAACTCTCAGGTGCTGCTTGTGTGGAGGTCAAAAATGACCAGTTAACATATGTAAAATATGTTATTTAAATAATGTTTTTTATTTAACATTTTGTATATTTAGAGGAATTTATGGCACTAAATTATATTTATAGAATAGTTATGATCCATTTATTATACATATTAACCACTTTTTGAGCATAGACCTGAAAATTAATATAGACATTTTATTACAAAATACATTTCCCAAAATATGTTTCACTGTAAATATTTGTGAAAATCAAAGCCATAAATCTAAAGAAGTTGTGTTCCAAATTTGAGGTTGATATTGAAAAAAGAGCTTTCAGCAAGTTTTTATTTATTTATTTGTTTGGGTGCAGTACCAAACATTTCCACTAGATTTGCTTTCCATTTTTGTTGTTGTTCTTTTTTCTTTGTTTTTTGTGATATCAACCTCAAATTTGGAACACATCTTGATTAGATGTATGGCTTTGATTTTTTTGCAGTTTTATAGTAACACATGTTTTGGAAAATATATGTTTGATATAAAATCTAAAAAATATTTAAAACAGGACTTTCTGGCCTTGTTACACATATTACATGTACTTACTATTATAATAACAATTAGTCATGCATAATTACATGCAAGATACCCTAATCCTAACCCTAACCATATAGTAAGTACTTATATGTATAACTACGCTGTAACAAGGACACCTTAAAATAAAGTGTAACCTAAATGTATTTATCAATTAATTAATTTTAATAGTAAAACCATAGGCTATGGTTGAGGGAAAGTTGTAAAGGGAAGTTAGCCAGCTTACATAACCTTTCACAGTTACAGTAACTGTGTATTTCGTCAGCTTATTTAGGCTAATAATATAAATAAATAAAAAACTATAAGGAAGGGTGTTAAAATAAACAAATCTCACCTTTGAGAGCAAACATTGATAAATATGTCCCTGCCATGTTCGTCAATTCCATAACCATTTCCGAGGTGGTCTTTGCCTGTTTGTAGCGAGTTTCTGTTTTTGCAGCATGCTTCTTTATTTGGATGTGTTGTGAGTATTTGCAGTGTGTGTGTTGTCAAATTAATGAAGATGTTTTCGTAATTTGCATGTGTTTTTTAGCGTGTTGAGCTCTCTCAGCCACAGTAGTAACGCTCCTCTCCCTCTGTCTCTGTCTCTGTCTCAGACGTACTTCAATGATAACATTCTGACTCTGATCCGGACGCTGGTGACCGGCGGAGCCACGCCGGAGCTGGAGGGTCTGCTGGCGGAGGAGAACGCGCTGCGTGGAGGATACAGCACACCGCAAACACTGGCCAACAGAGACCGCTGCCGCGTCGCACAGCTGGCGCTTTACGACGGGCCCTTCGCTGATCTGGGGGTGAGACTGACATCTCTTACGTCTTCATTTGGTTCATGTTTAACTCTCAGGTGCTGCTTGTGTGGAGGTCAAAAATGACCAGTTAACATATGTAAAATATGTTATTTAAATAATGTTTTTTATTTAACATTTTGTATATTTAGAGGAATTTATGGCACTAAATTATATTTATAGAATAGTTATGATCCATTTATTATACATATTAACCACTTTTTGAGCATAGACCTGAAAATTAATATAGACATTTTATTACAAAATACATTTCCCAAAATATGTTTCACTGTAAATATTTGTGAAAATCAAAGCCATAAATCTAAAGAAGTTGTGTTCCAAATTTGAGGTTGATATTGAAAAAAGAGCTTTCAGCAAGTTTTTATTTATTTATTTGTTTGGGTGCAGTACCAAACATTTCCACTAGATTTGCTTTCCATTTTTGTTGTTGTTCTTTTTTCTTTGTTTTTTGTGATATCAACCTCAAATTTGGAACACATCTTGATTAGATGTATGGCTTTGATTTTTTTGCAGTTTTATAGTAACACATGTTTTGGAAAATATATGTTTGATATAAAATCTAAAAAATATTTAAAACAGGACTTTCTGGATGTTTGGAGGCCTGAGAGTCAAATGCTAAAATAGTTTGAATCTATTTTATTAAAAATCTTTAAATTTGTATCACCATATAATGTTTATGCTTGTGTTTTCAGGATGGAGGCTGTTATGGTGATTTATTCTGTAAAGCATTGAAGACGTACAACATGTTGTGTTTTGGAATCTACCGATTAAGAGACGCACATCTGGGATATATAAAATCTAAAAAATATTTAAAACAGGACTTTCTGGATGTTTGGAGGCCTGAGAGTCAAATGCTAAAATAGTTTGAATCTATTTTATTAAAAATCTTTAAATTTGTATCACCATATAATGTTTATGCTTGTGTTTCCAGGATGGAGGCTGTTATGGTGATTTATTCTGTAAAGCATTGAAGACGTACAACATGTTGTGTTTTGGAATCTACCGATTAAGAGACGCACATCTGGGAGCACCCAGCCAGTGCACCAAC